GGAGCAGCCCTTAAGACATAGGTATTTCTTTATGCCACAGGAAAGAACTGAATTTGAGCTCATTTTCTGTCTCCACAGTTAAACTTTCTGGGAGAGAGTATTTCAAGCAAGACCCAGATTTTCACCGTCACTGTTAAGTTTAAACTCTGACAGCACCTTAGCAGACTTACTTATTCCGAAGCCCCACTGCATCTTGTCTGAATACTTCACGGTATGCCTTCTGTCCTTTGTTGATGCTTTCCAAACATTTGATAGACTCCAAGGCAGCTCTGAAAAGAATTTTTTATACCTCAATACACCTTTAAGTAAGAAGTGAAAGCTAAATGGAGAAAACAGCTCCCTCTAGGTTCCGTTACATCAAGAAAGGAAAATCTCCTCTTGCAAGCAATCGACAAATACAAGTCTAACTTGCAGACAACTTCATGCTTTCACAAAATGTAAACACTAAAATGAATTTAAAAAGTAAAAGGTAGGCAATTTCACTTTTTGACTTAAGATTTGCAAGTTTTTTAAAGTTATGAGTTGGACAGGGGACAAGAAATGAAGAAAGTGACAGGATCCAAAACCCGGGGTCCGAAAATGTCATGAATGGGCTTGGATCTAGACGGTGAGTCCATTCGCATTGAGACATGAGACAGCTAATCCAGCTGATGAACTTAGCTGAAAATCAGTGCTGACATTAAATCAATTGTTTAGTTACCCCTTCATTGCCGTATGACGTACCTGGTACGTCATGAAAATGCGTAATTTTTAGTGCTGTGCTGCACCATGTACGTCACGGAAGTTGGCAAAATATGACGCTCCTGGCTGCCTATATGACGTAACATATACAGTCAAACCTGTGTAAAACCCATTGTCAAGGAGAAAAGTGGCCGTATAACACAAGTGGTCAAAAGGAAAAAAGCAAATACAGTCGAACCTGCCTTAATGGAACCTCCCTGCTCCCCCCTTGATATATTCCTCTTTAATTACCTGTATAAAGCGGAAACCGGTCCAACGCGTAAACGGAAAGAAAAATCAGGGTGGGAATTTTCAAAAATCTGAAAGCAGGGTGACTACCAACCCGGCTTCTCAATTTTCCAGGGGCATGTTACATAACAATGACAGTGCGCGCCGCTCCATTTATATATATATATATATTTTCCCCTCATCATACTCGCCTATATAAACTATATAAAAACGAATCCTGTTTTGAGCCTGAGAAAGGGCCTAGAACAAGAATATCGACAGTCAGGAACCAGTCTCACTGGGCGTCATGATATATATAGGCCTATTAAACGTGAAAGACAAAAGTTATTGCTCAAACTCAAAGTAGAGTGAAAACTTAAATGGCTCAAAGAGACCTATTCAGTGTGAGAGTTGTAAGAACCGAGGGAGGGCAAGATGCAGTGACACTGAAAATCTGCAAATGTAGAACAGAAAGCTAAAATATGATAATATAATTAAACAATACATGTAATTTACTATCACTATCACCCATCCAGTGAAACACGAGCCCTTGATTTTAATAACACGGCTTACAAGGTATGAGCATGACGAATCCCGATTCCACACAAGGCTTGCACCAACATGCGCTTTGCAGAGAGCTCTAGTAGTAATCAAAATTCCTAAAACTAAAATTTGCTTGCAACTTCAGTTCAGTTTTTGTCCTCTAGTGTTGCCTTCACCCCCCCCCC